TTTTTGCATTACAAATCAGCTTGCAAATAAAGAATAACTGTTCGCTGGAATTTTAGACTGCATGTAATTTCTTCCCTAGAAAATGTTTCACCCCTTACTTATTTGGTATTGTCAGATACAGCCAATCAGTGTGATTTTTCCTCAGAAAACTCCCAACCATTACCATATCCCAAATCCTCCCTACTGCACATCTCAATACATCATCCAATTAACCACAAACTTGGCACTAGAGCAGAGTGACCGAAGCACGCAGTGACTCTGCCACATTTCTGATGGGCATTATTTCATTGCAGGAATAGAACAAGGGATAGGAAAGCTCTCAGAGATTTATTCCCAAGGAACAGGACTCAAGGAATCCTATGAAAGACAAGTTCTTGTGCCAGAAGTACATCAAGGGCCTTTCTTCTGGTATGTCACGTCTGGTGGGTGTCCAGGGACATCACCCTGACTGCCACCAGCTGCCAAAGCCTTCCTGCTGCGGGGGAGCAGGGATTGCTCTCGGAGTATCCTGGCAGCAGTGCCCTGGCTTTGCCATCCCTCCCTTCCTGCAGGAACACCCCGCTGCTTTCACCTCTCCTCTCCCAGCAGCTGAGGGGAGCAGAAATGGGGCTACAGCAGCTGGAGACTCTGCTCCACATGCACATTCAGCTACCACCATAAAGAGAGAACCACTGACTGCTTTTAGGACAGAAACAATTCTATAACAACCTGCACAGATACCAAAATTAAACACTCAGATCTGACCACTAATTCCACTTCTGATGAAGCATACAAACTCCTTCACAGATCAGCATGTGCTCTGGTACCATCAGACCCAACTAAAAGATGCTAACAACTCCACCTGCTTGTAATTCAGTAACAGAAGTACTTCAGTATTTAAAAGCTACTAATTACAACTTAGTTTTTCCAGATTCTGTTACAGATTTTATAAGATCAATGGTTTACCCTAAACAATTAGTCACAGCCTGCACAGAACTAATATTCTATCCTTACTTTAATCATATATGATGCAATACCAGGATGAGATTTTAAAAAACAAACACATTAGCAAGATTTGCCTTTTAGATTTTCACTCCCCAGCTTGATGGTAACGAGTTCTGCCATTCTGCTCAAAAGCAATAAGAAACTGTACTTTTTACCAGAATGTGAGCCTCTCCTAAAAAGCTACAATGACATTTTGAGAACTTGTGTTTATTGTCAAAATAACTACAGATAGTTTAGTTTTCAAACAGTATTAACTTCTTCCATTTGTCCTCAGATCCAACTCAGAGCTGTGGCTCAAGCTAGATTTACTCCTGTTGGTCAGAGAGACAAGCTGCCTCCTCTGCTATTGATATACACACCCATATTCAGAAATATTAAGCAAACTGTCAAGGAGAGTTGCACGCTGTGCCCACGGGAACACGACGCTCCTTTTCCTGTTCTCCAGCAAAAGGTTGTTTTTAGAGTGAAGGTGATGGGGACACCAAAAACTACAAACAAACCAGGACCATGGAACAGCAGGTTACCTTCACGCTGCTGATCTGATTCCAATCACACAGCTGCTTCCAGACGGGACGTGCAGCTTTAACTGGAGGGCAGCAGAATTTCACCTGCATTTACTGCCACAGTACTCACTGTTTGCGAGGGGCTGTTTTCTCTGAGCACTGCAACTCCCTCCCCATCAAACATGGGTCCATCTGCCACCACACAGCAAACTGAGGCAGCAATGCCATGCCCATTCCAGTTTCTTTAGGAATCATGCCAGCCTTTACTACAGAAAAGGGTTAATGTTCAGCTGCGTGCCTCACAGGTAGTCTCCAGTGAAGAGCCCCGTTTGATACCTGTAGGAAGCTGCCATTTTTGCATCTCATATTCCATTTGTGAACAGACCTTTTTGTTCTTTAATCCAAGTTCTGAATTATTTAATCCTGTCTCCAACACTTGAAACATCTTTCCCTATAAACAAGGGGTTATTTAGCGAAAGGAAATAAATAATTTAAAAAGTCAGACCCTAAAGTGTTCCTGGCTCTGTTTTTAATTAATATTGATACAATCTGGAGAAACCTGCTGCTTAATATTACAAGGCAGGTCGAAGCTCATCAACAGTTAAACATCTCCTTCTAACAGAAGGTGGAAGAGGAAGTTGGGAGCAGCCGGGTACGCGGCGCTGGCTGCCAGCGATCGGGGACTGCCCAGTCCCAGCTCCTCACAACTTTCTCATGCACAGAGAGCTTCAAAGCCCTCACACCCTGAGCTCCACGAGCTGGAGTTCTGCAGGGCTCAGGTGGAATTGTGTTAAGCATAAATCCTCCAGGCTTTCGCCCTGGAACAGAGAGTACACGGAAGTATTTTTATTTTCTACAATTCCACGCTCGAAATACGTCAGCGCAAGCGAAGGACGGGGACGGAGGGAGGCATGGACAGTTCTGTGGGACTGAACTTCATCCCTGGGAATGATAGTTTTTATAGCACATTGCTTCATCTGCAAGTGGGAGTAAATATTACACTACCTCTTCGTGCAGATGGGTGGGTAAAAAGAAAAAATAAAAAGCTAATTTGAAACAAATTAACTATTCTGCATACGGAGGAAGGTATTCTCGCCCTCCCCGGTCACTCCAGGGCTCTCTGCAGACAGAGTGCATGCAAAGTTAACAAACTCTGTGCTGCTCACAGCCTGCCTGCTGAACCTGCCAACAGGTGAACAGCCTCAATCCGCAGCACGGATAATCACCAGTCCTCAAAAGCAGGTAATGAATATTGTTCAAACAACTCTAAGCTGGCGTTACCAGAATGCTTCAAAGGAGAAGCTACAAGCTGTTCAAGTCAGACTGTCACATTTAGTCTGCAAAATCGAGATTAAGGTTTGTACAGTGAGACTCCACAACAGGTTTTACAGTATGCCCAGAAATTAAATTATGATAAAAGTGAGCTATTTTTTACTAAAAACAGAATAGAACAATCTATCAAAATGCCATTTGGCTGTGTTCATTACATTTTAGAATTTAATTTACATGATAGATACTTTAGCATAATATGTTTTAATCAATAAGCATTTCTGAAGGCTTTATTTTTATAGGCAATATTTAGACTTGTTCACCGTTAAATGTAACGCCACGGCAGCGATGTTCAGAGCGTTTATTTTCCTATGCTAAGCAAGTACAACCACACGTACACAGAGGCAAAAGCAAAAGTCCGCAATTAGAGATGTCAGACCTTGTTTAACTACATCTTAATTTAATCCATTTTATTTTATACAATTCTACATCTGGATCTCATTTTCTGTATTCCTGTAGGTATTCCGGGTCACTATTAAGAACCCTTTCAAGTTAGCAAAGTTCAGCCAAGTCTACCTTAATCCAAAACCTTTAAAAGAAACAATAAAACGCGAAAGGGGGTGGAAGACGACAGAGAAACCTGAAACAAAACGCTACTTCACCCCACCTCCTAATGCACCTGAAAGTCGGAAGGGACCGGCCTCCCAGCACAGATCCCATGCAGCACTTCCCCTTTCCGGGGCAGCTGGGGTGGGAGTTTTGAATATCATATATATATATATATATTATATTATATCGCTCCCGCACGCCCGGCCGAGGGGAAGGGAGGGCGGCAGGAGCCGGGTCCCGCTGCCGGCCCCCTGCGAGCATCCCCTCACCTCCAGCGGGAATGCGGCTCTGCCCAGCATCAGCGCACCATCCCTCCGCCTGCCGCAGCCTCCGGCCGCTCCACCGCCGCCTCCGCGGGGGCCAGGGTGGGCAGCCGCCGGCTTTCGAGCCAATTTATTTAAACGGGAGGCAGCGGCGGGTTTGGAGAGGCAGGGCAGCGCCTTCCTGCGCCAATCAACTGGGAGACACGCGTGTTGCAATCCCATTCACGGCGGGAGCAGCACCGATACAGCGTCTGACAACCCCCCCGGCCCGCCCCGGCCTTATCTGTAGCCCGGCAACTCAATTAAACCGTGGGGCCGCAATTCCCCCGGGGACGCTCCCCCGGGGCAGGGGGAGGGAGGCCGGTCTGCGAGGACTTTCCCTCGCAGGAAACGGCACTTCTGGGCTCTCCCGAGCCAGCACAGTAAAGCATCAATATTCCGCTCATCTGTCAGATCCTGGACAGCAGGAGAGGCTGGAGAGCCCGTGAATTATGTAACGTGCCCTCCCGCCGCCGCGGGGAGATGCGCCGCGGTGCCCCCCGCGGCCGGGACGCCCCCGCGCCCCTCCCCGCGCCCGGCGCCGCCGCTGCCCTCCCGAGCCCCCTCTCCGCGCACCGGGCGCTCGCCCCTTCCCACCCCGCGGGACCCTCCACCGCTCGCTCCCTCCCTGCCGGCCGGTGCCCCCGCGTCCCCTCCCCTCGCGGCCCGGCGCGGTGCCCGCGGCGGTCGCAGGGCGGCGGCCGGAGCCCCGCGCCCGGCGGAGCGACCCCGCGGCGGCGGCGGGGAGCGCCCGCCCGCCCGGCCGGCACCACAGCGCCCCCAGCCCCCGCCGCTCCGCGCCTGCACCGCCAGCCCGCCCGGCGCCCCCACACAAAGTCCCAGCACTCGGTAAACTTTCCCCGGCTCCCGGCGGAGGAAAAGCGGCGGGGACGCGGCGGCGGGAAGGGGGCAGGCGGCGGGGAGGGAGAGGGAGGAGGCGGGCGGGGGATGAGCGGCGGCCGCCGGGAGTCCCGCCGCGCCCGCCGCCCCGCACGGCCCCGCCGCCGGGGGGGAGCGCGGAGCGGGGAAAGAGCAGCCCGGGACGGAGCGGGCGAAGCGGCGGCAGCCCCGGCAGCGGCGGCTCCGGCGCCATCTTGGGCTGATCGATGAATTGAACAAAGAGGATCAATTTCCGATGGGGCCGGTGATCGATGGCGGGGGGGGCGGAGGGAGCGGAGCGCCGCGGCCGGGCGGAGCGGGGGGTTCCCTTTAGGCGGCGCGGGCCGGCAGCGGGAGGAGGAGGGGGAGGCCGGGCCCGAGGGAAGGCGGAGAAGGGAGGGAGGGGGGGTCCGGCGGCGCGGCCCGGCCGGTGCGGCGAGCGGGGGAGCCTGACCTGCAGCTGCTGTAAATCAAAGCGCTTCCAATATTGAAACATCGATCCCACATTGGCCGCCATCTTGAGACATATTGAGACAGAGTGAGCGGCTGATAGAGAGAGAGGGGCTGGAGTTCAGGAGCCGGGAGGGAGGGGGAGGGAGG